GGATCCTCCACTTTTTAAAAAAGTGCAAGCCTAAATTCTGTCAGGGTAGAAATCAAATCTTCCAAGCTAGCCTTAGCCTTAGCAAACTCCAACAACATCAAGCCTTTAACCATCGTTTCAATGTGCTATTTGGAACAGGTAAATTTGGGAGGGACAAAATGGTTTCAGGACTTTTTCTGCATGCTTCAGACATGTGGTTTATGTTTGTGTGTGTGCTTGGTCCATTTATGAACATTTATTTTATATATATGTACGACCTTAAAATTATTAAAACAATAATAATATTTGATATTATAATATTAATGATATAATAATATAATGATGATAATTATTATTTTATTTATACCCCACCCATCCGACTAAGGCTGCCGGAGCCACTCTGAGCGGCTTACAACATACCTGAAAACATAAGAAAACATTGGGCACTTCCCTATGCAGGGCTGCCTTCAGCTGCCTTCTAAAGGTTGCATAGTTCCTTGATCTTCTTGGCTCCAGGATCACACGACTCCATGCCCTCAGAACGTTTCTCTCAGGGATATCATACCACACCCTCCAACATTTCTCTGATGGAAATAGGGGCATCCATCCGGAGGAAAAGCGGGACTTTCCGGGATCAAATCAGAAACCAGAATGGCTTCTGTAAATCCAGGACTGTCCCTGGAAAGTAGAGACAAAAAGCATGAGGATCCATGGGGATCCATGCTTCAGAACCACGGTTTTGGGCCATGGAGTTTCCAGGAAGCCATGGATCAGAGTATTTTGTGGTGCAGGCTGTGCCCCTGGGCATGATGTGTGATTTGACGGTGAGTTTGGGGTGGCCCAATGCATAAAGTGTGAGGATCCGTGCTTCAAAACCACGTTTTAGGGTCATGGTGTCACCAGGAAGCTGTGGATCCATGATTTTTGTGGTGCATGCTGTGTCCATGGTGAAGGGGTACAGTTAGGGTTACCCCCAGAAAGCCCTAAAAACTGTTTGTGAATTCCCCCCCCCAACCAGGCCTCGGCGTACGCATTTTTAAAACTGCATATTCCTCTAAGACAAAGAGCATGAGCTAAGCAGTCCTCTCTGTAACAAAAACGCTGTAACAAACCCAGAGCTGAGAACAGAAAAGCTTTCGCTTCCCAGATCCAAATAACCTTGTCCTGGTACATTGACTTGCAACATACTTCCGGGAACAGAGCCAGAGAACGAAAAGCAACATTTCTATGTAAGAACCTGTGAAGGGGGGAGAGGAAAAAAGGGGTTTGGAAAAAGGATAAAACCTGCTTGTAAAATGTTTTCGGTGCGGCCTGTCTTTTGTGAACTGAATCACACAGGTGCCTTCTGGATTAACCCCTTGGTTTGGATTTGATATCCCGCCTTTCACTCCCTTTAAGGAGTCTCAAAGCGGCTCACATTCTCCTTTCCCTTCCTCCCCCACAACAAACACTCTGTGAGGTGAGTGGGGCTGAGAGACTTCAGAGAAGTCTGACTAGTCCAAGGTCACCCAGCAGCTGCAGGTGGAGGAGCGGAGACGCAAACCCGGTTCCCCAGATTACGAGACTACCGCTCTTAACCACTACACCACACTGGTGTCGTTTGGCTCCTTTTGTCTCTGCTCTGGTGCAACAATTATTCCTACCCATGGATTAATAAGGCTACAATGGCTATGATGATTGATCTGATAGTGACTTCAGGCTGATCTAGTGCAAAAATCATGAGGATCCATGTTTTTTAACCATGTTTTTGCGCCATTGCAGCCCCACAAAACAGTGGATGCATGATTTTTTTGATGCTGCCTACAGACTAAGACATGGTCTACAATATCATGGCAGTTTTATTTAATTTGAATGAAAAAAATCATATGAATTCATGAGGATCTGTTTAAAATCAGCTGGATCTGCCATTTACCCGTTTCCCAGAAAAAGCATGAAACGCAACACCAGCTACATACAACCCGTTCCTGCCTGTGGCGATCAGGCAGGCGCCTATTGAAAACATCGAAGCCAAGGTGCTTAGAAAGCGGAGGATATTTTAATATGCTTTAGCATTCTTATTTAGATTAGTTTATTTTCCTTTATTATGAAAAACTTTAATAAAAGCTTGGGGGGGGGTGAACCAACCAATCAGTGTATAGATCTTATAAAATTATATAGAGTAAATAGAACACGGGGGGTGTGTGCATAAAATAAATGCATTTGCTATCAAAGTCTAAAGCCACAAGAAATAAAAAGCAATAGAGAGAAAGTTGTGTCCATGTTTTTGGCACATTAAGTGTAATTCTAGATTGGCCAGGGCTCCTGCTAGTTGTCTTTATGAGGTGATGGCTCTAAGGTATATGTGATAAATGGGTGCCATGTCAGATAAAAAGAACCTGCGATTTATAACTGGGTTATTATTATTGTTGTTGTTGTTGTTATTAAATTTGTATACCACCCTTCATCTGAAGATCACAGGTTTACAACACAAAATACATCATAAAACAAACAAACCATAACTCCTCTCTCCCACAAACACATTTTTAAGAACCATAGAATGTTAATCAGCCGAACACCTGGTCATAGAGAAATGTTTTCACCTGGCGCCTAAATATACGTAATGAAGGCGCCAGATGAGCCTCCTCAGGGAGATTTCCACAAATGAGGAGCCACCGCAGGAAAGGCCTGTTCTCGTGTTGCCACCCTCCAGACCTCTTGAAGGGAAGGCACACAAAGAAGGGCCTCAGAGGATGGTTGCAGGGTCCAGGTCGGTGCATAAGGGGAGAGGCAGGCCTTGAGGGGTTATGGTCCTGAGCTGCTTAGGGATTTATAGAGCAAAACCAGCACTTTGAACTGGACCAGGAAACTAAATGGCAGCCAGTGCATTCGGGCCAGGATTGGCATTGGATGCTGAAACCTGGCCACTGAATTCTGCACCAGCTGGTTTCTGAACCAACTAGATGACTGTTGGGATCTCTTCCAACCCTACAATCCTTGTCTAATAAACACAGTAGTAGTAGTAGTAGTAGTAGTAGCAGCAGCAGGGAGTGGGTGGTGCTGTGGTCTAAACCACTGAGCCTCTTGGGCTTGTCAGTCAGAAGGTAAGAAGTTTGATGGAGTGAGCTCCTGTTGCTCTGTCCCAGCTTCTGCCAACCTAGCAGTTCGAAAGCATACCAGGGCAAGGGAAGGTAAACGACATTTCTGTGCGCTCTGGCTTCCGTCACGGTGTCCCATTGCGCCAGAAGCAGTTTAGTCATGCTGGCCACATGTCCTGGAAAGCTGTCTATGGACAAACACCAGCTCCCTCGGCCTGAAAGCGAGATGAGCACCGCAACCCCACAGTTGCCTTTGACTGGACTTAACTATCCAGGGGGCCTTTACCTATTACTTTTTACCTATTATTATTAGCATAACATCTGTAACCTTAGGTATTTGCTGGACTACAATTCCCACCATCCCTGGCTACTGGCTATGCTAGCTGGGATTGATAGGAATTGGGAGTCCAACAGCATCTGGCCAGCCACAGATCTCCCACCCCTGTGTTAGTGGCAGAGCAGAGTTCAAGCTTTTCTATTCTTTTTTTTAAATCTGTGGGAGAAAGGGATGCTGAAGCATATATGCTGGAAGGCTTTAGTTAACCACTGGAGAGCTAAGACAAGTGTCTCTGAGTTTCACCTTGGGAATCCAGGGTTCAAATCTACTCAGGTGTGAATCTCACTGGCTGACCTTCAGCTAGCAGTTACCCATCTCTTAGCATAACCTACCTAACGGGTTTGTTTTAAGAGTAAAGCAAAAGCCCAAGATAATAATAAATGGCTCTTAAAATACTTCACAAATGGTATGTAGCACCATTGCTCTGGAGAGGGTGTCGTGCAGTAGGCACAAACTGACACATGCAGTGGGAATGCCCCAAAATACATATTTTTGTTGGAAAATATTTAAGGAAATTGGGCTGATCACAAAGCAAACTATCTTCTTATAGTTTGGAAAGTGACAAATACGTTTGCTCCATAAAAAACAATAAAAACTTTTGGCTTGGGAGGGAGTAATGGGGAAACTGGAATTTTTAAGGAAAATATTTGTTTTAAAATAGCAAACTAGTTTTCATTTATCTGTTCAGTTCTTCCAATTGATTATGAAATACTATATGATTTGTCACAATTTTGGGCCCTGTTTTATGTTTTCTTCAGTCATACCTCAGAAGTCAAACAGAATCTGTTCCAGAAGTCGGTTTGACTTCTGAAACATTCGAAAATCAAAGCGCGGCTTCTGATTGGCTGCAGGAAGCTCCTGCAGCCAATCGGAAGCCGCGGAAGCCCTGTCAGATATTTGGCTTCCAAAAGAACATTTGAAAACCGGAACACTCACTTCCAGGTTTGCTGTGTTCAGAAGTCAAAACATTAGACTTGCAAGGTGTTTGGGACCCAAAGTACGACTGTAATTTTTTTTGCACTGATTGAAATAGCCTGCTTTCATGTTTCCACCCCAAAATTATTTTTTTAAAAAATTAAGGGCTATGTCCTCCACATTTCTCCAAATTAAACTCTGCCTTTCCAACTTTCCCTCCTCCCTCTCCTCTCCTTAATATTGGCTTCAAATCACTGTTGCTGTACCAGACACCTCTATCCTACACACACATACTTTTGCCCTGCATTAAAGACACCATCCACCTCTACTCACAACCAGAGTAGCCCATTCTTTTTCTTCCAGTAGATTATCATGGGTGACAAGGGAGAATTTAACCGTTAAGGTGTTACACCACAATTGTTCCAAACTACATTAATCTAAGGATGTGATATTTTTTACTGGGCAGTCTCTTGTATCCATTGTAATGATTATATTTCCTGAACAATACAACCCACTCTCATCCTGCCACCATCCCTACAATAATAGTTCTCCTCCCACCTCTTGTATTCGCCCATTCTCATCCAATCATTTTCTCTAGGGACTCATATCCTCATTTCCCCCACAGCTTGGTTCCCCAGAGGTTTAAATCATCACCATCATAACTCATTGCAAGCTACAATTTAACAGGCACAATGTTTGTTCTCAAAATGAGTGATTAGCTTTTATTTAAGATGAATATGAAAGAAGGCTAGATTTATTCTGCTGGCAATTATAAAACCCAAGAAGGTGAAATACCTCCATTTTCATTTTGAAATTAAAAAAAAAACTTTTAAAAGGTAGCTGTCTTCACCGAGCATAAACAAGTTTCATTCAAATTCACTGCTGTGTCAAAAACAAAATTAAACTAGAACCTGATTTTGCAAGTATTCAGTTCCAGCAATGGAATGATGTGCATAAATGGAGTGTGTAATTGTTTTCTAAGAACTTGTACTAACTCAGGTAGTTTGCCATTCAACACTGAACAAAAGGTATGGGGATATCCAGACTGCAATACTGAAGAAACTTACATAAGCATATACTTAATTTCAAGGAATCTTTTTTTCATTTAAGCAAATGAAGTTTAAGTTCCCCCAGGAGTTAAATTAGAATATTTAATACCTTGCAAAATAATTTCAGGTAGCAATATTGGAAGAGAATCACTGTGAGCCCCTATAACTTGCTCCTTGGTCAACTTAACAGGCATTTCCTAAAAAAATTCAAGGCCACAGGCTTCAAGTTTTTTACTGAATCCAAAAGCTGGCATGGCTTTCAAATCCTTCCCCTTATATTCAAAATGTAGGATTGTGCAGTGGCAAAAAAATAGCATAGCTCTTGCTCAAACCAGAGGCAAAAAGCTTTTAAACAATATCTTAGCCCATGTCTTAGACTGTATAACAAAGTCTTAATAGTTTCCCGTAAATACTGAAAGGTAAGCAACTTCGTTCTCAGCTGCTGCCTGATTTTCTGAGCTATGAGCAATCATGAAGGTGCAGTAGTACTAACAGGAATGACAAGGCAGAATGACAAGGCATTTTTCAGTACTGAACTCAGGTTCAATGGGGCTTACCTCCAGTTAAGTGCATATCGGATGCACTGTAAGGGTTTACAAAAGGAAACAAACTGCTCTTAAAAATACCTGCAGCATTTTTAAAAGCAGCAATGAGATATTTAGAATCAGTTTTAAAATCAATTTATATGTGCTCATGACTGGAAAACACAGACATTTTTATGACTATTTACCAGAAATCCACGTTAGCAAAATCCAAATGTGAGGTTATATATTACAAAATTATTTGGCTGCATTGTAAGGCAATCAGTGTTGTTCTTTTCTACAATGAACTGTACAAGAATGACAAATAGGTACATGATTATTTTCAAACAACTCTAGAGATGTACCGACTACAGCAGCCAAACTATGCAATGTATCTATTACAATGTAAAGAAATGTCTTGAAAGGAGAAAGGTGTGAACTTGTATCCTTCGCCTGCGTAGAACTTGTTCTGAAATTCTACCCTGTAAGAAGAAAAGCACTACATTCAGATAAAGGCAATCACACGGACCCCTTTCCAAACTGCTAGGCAAACATGCTCTGAATCGTATCCACAATGAAGAATTACTTTCAAGTGGAACATACTTAATGTCAATAAAGAATTCATTTACTTTAAAAATAAAAATAAAAATTAAGCTTTACATTTTTTAATTTAAAAATCCAAAATGTTTTGCTAGCAAGCCACACACACACACGTATATATTAAAAGGAACACACATACCAGTGAAGTCGTACAGCATGTAGAAAAGCAGAAAGACCTTCCATGACTAAAAGAATGAATATTGTTAGAACCATAAATAAGGCTGAAACTGGTATCAGAAGGATGATCCCATAAGTCGCATCCACGCGAAGGCCCACTCTCATGATCATTGCCCAGAGGACTTCTGATAATTCTAAAAATAAAAACACAATAAACTGTCCCAAATCCTGCTTTTTAATACTTTACCACATGGCATGCCTAAAGGACAAGTAACTTTGCCAGGGACACATTTCTCATTATTAAAAGCAGTTGAAGATGGAATACCTTAATCATGCCCTGTTCAGACGCAACAGGAAACTATGGCTTTGGACTATGTTGATGAGCTGTGGAAAGCTCTTAGCTTGCTTGATCTGTTGTCCCCACTTCATACTGGCGAGACTGGAAGATTTGCTTCTGCTTTAAGTTAAGTGTATTTCCTATGGTGTCTAAAGTTAGGGAAATGCAGTTTGCTTCTTCACCTTCAACCCAATACTGCCCATACCAACAATGTATCATGCTGAATGTAATTGAACTGTATGATTTGAACTCTAGCATTTGAACACTGAATATACTTCTGTTACTCATGAAAAATATTTTAATAAAAACTTATGTAAAAAAAAGCTGAGGTCAAACCATGGTTTCAGATTCTGGCCTCTTTAATAACCATAGCTTCAATATACCACAGTTCTCATACATTACAGGGAACAATGATTATAGTTTAAAACTGAGAATGGATTGTAAAGGTTCCAAGCGGTTGCTCGAGAACAAGCAGGCAATTACCTGCCTACTCCGTAGTAAAGCCTTGCTTTAGCTGCAAAAATAAACTTTATCTGTCCAGAGCGCAACTCTCCCGTGGCTGGCTCATTCACTGGCAGAATCCGTGAGTGGGTGGTTTCTTAAACTTTCCCCAGCAAAGCAATTTCTTGATGCCCAGTCTGCGCCTCCCCTCTCTGCGCGGAAGCTTACTGTGCAAGGAGGGTGTGGGTAACGGAGGACCCCTCTCCTCCCCGCTTTGCCCAGGCGAGGTGTCCTGGCACCGCCTCACCTCCTCCGAGCCCTGCAGCTCCTCTCCACTGGAGGCGTGGTTACTCTCCTCCGTTGAGGAGGAGCTGCTTCCCATGATCCTTGGAGGCTCTCTATAATCCATTCGGCTTTTCCTCTCTCCCTCCTGAACCGATGGCAGTTTCCTGACATGAATGCTTCCAATTTCCTTGCAGGAAACCAATTTTTATTATGTCTGAATAGGACAATGAATAAGCACATTAGAATTAAATATGTTTTATATTTGTTTTAAAATCAAAAGCGGGGGGAGACTCCTGAAGAACCAAGGTGGGAACAAGAAAATAGAGCGTTTGAGATTGCATGCAGGATACTTACGTGCATGGGCCAAACTGAGAGCCCAGAGCCTGAGGTATGAAGCAGAGTTGGAGATGCATCCTAGACAGTATTCAATGGTATGGATAGCTTGATCCATGAATACATCTGTAAAGTTAAACTAAAGCAAAATAATATGTAAACATACAGATGTACTTTAGAATTCCTGGGACACATCAAATTCATTTCAGTAGGTGGTATCCAGTGCTAGTCATATTCAGAGTAGACCCACTGAGATCAACAGGCCTACAGAGTAGTACTTTGTTGGGTATCAGGAAGTACCAAGCAGAAGGTCCCAGGTTTAGTCGCCAGCATCTCCAAATAGGGCTGGGAGAAAATCCTGCCTACAATCCTGGAGAGCTGCTGCCCGCCAGTGGAGATAGTAATGTGCATTGCCACATCTCTGTCAGCCTGTCTGAACTTGCTCTATGGTGTTTTTAAATGGTATTCCTTGGGCAGTTTTTACCCTTAAGGTAAAGGCAAAGGTAAAGGGCCCCCTGCCCATTAGGTCCAGTCGTGGCCGACTCTGGGGTTGCGGCGCTCATCTCGCTTTATTGGCTGAGGGAGCCGGCGTACGGGGTCATGTGGCCAGCATGACTAAGCTGCTTCTGGCGAACCAGAGCAGTGCATGGAAACGCCATTTACCTTCCCGCCAGAGCGGTACCTATTTATCTACTTGCACTTTGATGTGCTTTCGAACTGCTAGGTTGACAGGAGCTGGGACCGAGCAACAGGAGCTCACCCCATCGCGGGGATTTGAACTGCCGACCTTCTGATCGGCAAGTCCTAGGCTCTGTGGTTTAACCCACAGCGCCACCCGCGGCTCTTGTTTTTACCCTTACTGTCCCCAAAAAGCACAGAGAAGCATTAGGTTTTATCTTAGGCACATACTCCATGCATGGGAATGTGGAGGCTTCACAGCATGCTGTGTCAATCATGCAACACTATCCTGAATCCTCTGCAATACGCAGTAGTTCTAGAGTAGTCAACTCAGCATGAAAAGGCTCTCTGGAGGCAGAACATTTGAAAAAACTATTGCTAGAAGTTTTCTAGGGGGTATTTAGATAGCACCCTCAATAAGCCCAGCACAACACAGTAACAAATTACAAGATGACAGGTCCCTTCCCCAAGGAGCTTACAATCTAAAATTTAACACAGGGAGAGGAAGGGTAAATGCAGGGGGATATGCATTAATTTAAATGCCAGGGTGCAGGACACCCTAAAAAGGGCGTTTTGAGGAGGGGTTTGAAATAAGAGCCAGCATCCTGTAGGTGGCCTGTGAGAGATTATGTAACATCACATTTTGCAGTCTTCCAGATTGCTGATAAATGCATACAAGCCACAAAGGGGCGGGGGGGGCTGTCCTTCCGAAAGAAATATAATACCACAAACTGAAGGGGAAGGCGAACACGCCCTGTGCTGCACTGAGAGGATTCCTTTCACATAGCTCCAAACTACAGGCAGTGTCTGCAAAACACACACATCTACCTCTTCTTTCTCCTCATCTTTGTGCCTGTGGTCCAAAGAGCTGCTTCCTTCTTCAATATCATGAGTTCTCAGCAGAGCAATTTCTTCTTCACTTTCTTTTCGTACTAACCGGTAGCCTTTCTGGAGAATTTAAAAATAAAAAATTGAATTGTATCACTCACCCCACCTCAACGGCCCAAGTTGGATTACAGCAACACCATCTCCACCAGCCCCCCAAAACCCAAGTGCTAAAGATTTAGTTCTCAAGAAAGATGACCAACTTTTTAAAATGCAATGAAGCCTTCTGTATTTCTATCTCAGTGCTACCCAAATTTTTGAGAGCTGAAACACACTCTACCCACAACCCTCTACTGAATTAAGGTTGCTTTTATAGTGTGTGAAGAGTAAGAATTAGCTGCACTTTAGGGAACCCTCCCAGTGGCACAACTTAGCAAGACCTCAAGGGCCAAAAACAGCCTCACAGCAGAATGACTGTTCACAAGATCAACAACTGGTGTGGGTCATGTCAATACCTGGGCCAGCTTGGCAATCCTTGCTTTTTTAATAATAATAATAATAATAATAATAATAATAATAATAATACAGGTGTCTCCCCACTTTCATGCGTTTAACACATGTGTGACCGCACCTGCACAGTGCCAGGAAATAAATAAAATCAATTTAAACAGCAAAAGCCACAAAAATGGCCCAAAAACAGTGGGGAAATGGCTGGAATGGTGCAAAAAGAGCAAGAAAATGGTTAGCAATCCTATGACTCTTTGCACTGATTTTTCAGGCTGTGGAGAGTTGGAGTTTGAGAAAGGAGGTTTGGAGAGAACAATTGTAGTGGAGTTGGGTGGGTTTTTAGAGTAGTTTGGCTTTTAGACGGTGACCCCCACTATACATGATTTCACTTATGTGTGCGATACCCGGGAACGCAAGTCATAGGCTGGTCAATTGGGCTACACTGTTACAGAACTTCATTTTATTACTTTTGGCTTGGAAACATATATATATGTCCTTTTCTGTAACAAAATGGTGTTTATTCTTATCCTTTTTTCCTTGCCCTTTAACCAAAAAGAACATGTGTTTACAGAGCCATCAAACTAATTCAGATAACATACATTTAACTGGAAGAAGGATTTTGCCAATCTTATAACACACATGCTACCATAGGCAGTTATTTCCAATACATACTCTGTATGCTCCGATGCTTTGGCCTCCATTGCTCAACCAGTATAAATAAAGTGGTTTTCCAAAAAGCAGCACTGGAACTGAAAGCACAGCAACAGACAGGAGAAATTTCTGTAGAACCATCTGGTTTGAAAGAGAGGAGGCAAAAAAGACAAAGCTGTTTTATATGGAGGCTGATTCCCTCCTCCCTACACAAAACCACTAAAACTCTCCTAATGGCAACTGCCGTGCCTCAGAATGTGAGAGTTCCCCCAGTGCCCAGAAGGGTGGAGAATCTGTGGACATCTCCAGGAATCACTAAACTACAACTCCCACAATCCCTGAATACTGGGAACAGAGCTAATGGGACTTGGTTCCAACAACACCTAGAGGACCACAGGTTCCCCATCTTTGGCATATACATTACTGAAAGGATTCAGATGGGCATCAATTCTTTGCAGGAAAAGGATTTGCATGACAACTGACTTAAATGCCAGTTTGGAATTGGTTTTTTTTTTAATTTACTGTTTATACCTTATTAATTTTAATACAATAAAAAGTAAGGCCACAACATTTATTTATAGTTAAAATGAACGCTTCTGATCCCCTGCCAAGGTGACCATATTAATCAGGCAGATTATTTTTTTAATAAAAAAGTTAAAGTTGTGTTAAAACTGCAGCTGGCAAATACCATCCTAGAAGAGGGACGGGAAGAAATGACTTTCCTAATATGATGCCTCCTGCAACACATGTAAAAATTTATCAGTTAACTAAAAACTGAGATTATGCATTGATGATTCAGTTCTATGCATGCTTATTCAGAATTCACTATGCTCCATGTGGTTTACTTCTCAATAAGTGTATTTAGGACTGCATTTGAAGATTTTTTAAAACTGGGTTACAAGCCCTAAAATGAACACTTTTGTATGGCTGTCTGTTCAATTCCATCTATTTCACCAACTGCCTCTCTTCCTTTCAAAGCATCCACTTGCATCTCCATACACACAACAAAGACAAAAACCAAATCAGTGCAGAAAGAACGACAAAGAGAAAAATGTGGGGAAACCACATATTAATATTGCCTTGTTTATACTTTGCATACATCACTACAATATTTCCACATTTATGCTTATTCTTCCATGCCACAACTTTCATATGCCACTTCATCCCAGGCCACTGCTCCCACAAAGTAACTTCTGATTTAGTATTATCTTTTCATTTATGCAATATTGAGTTGCTAAAAAAGAAGTGTTGCTCTTATCAGAACATTTTATTCCTTTCTCTGGAATCAAAAAGATGTCTCCTAATTCCAACATACACACTGCCCAGGCTCGCACCCCGGGGAGGTCACTTTGGTGCTGCTAACGCAGTGGTTTGACTTCCATCGTCTCCCGAGACAGATGGATGCCAACAATACCAGCACAGGGAAAGACTATCTTCCATACATGCCTAGAACCAAGTACAGTGGTACCCCTGGATACGCACACTGCAGGATGCGAATACAGCAAACCCAGAAGTATTTTTCCAGCTTTCGCCCCGCGTGCATGCACAGAAGCGCTCTTCCACGCTACACGCATGCACAGAAGTGGCACCTGTGGTTGCGAACTCCTCAGGATCCGATCGGAGCTCCAGAACGGATCCTGTGCGCAACCAGAGGTACCACTGTAATACTTTTACCTAACTCTTCCCAAAATTCAGTAACTACTGCACATTCCCAGTACATATACCCCAAAGTGGCTCCACTCCTCACATCTTCAGCCACATTAGAAAAGATACATTTAAGCAACCTAAATTAGGTACTGTTAAAGACCTGTTCATTTCAACTAGGGAAATTTAAGTACATGCCTAACTATTCCTTTGAAATCAATGCAGCAGAAGAGTTGTGTGTTTTGCTTTCTCTTTAGGAAACCCTGAACTGCAAGACCGGAGACAGGCAAAGATAAGGAATTCTGTGACTATCTTTCAGATTATAAGGCTTACCAACCTGTCCTTCGAAAAAGATGTGTGGTTCTCTCTTATTAGGAAACAGGAACATGTTAATGAACAAAATCAAAATGCTGGGAGCCGTCTCAGAGTTCTTCGCACTAAAAGCCAACCATTTATAGATGATCATAAAAACCAGGTATCCAAATATGGAAAGAATGAACAGAAGTTGAGGAATGAACACCAAATAAATATTGTACTTCTTCTTGAAATGCCTGATGGAATAAGAAAAAAGGTGGATTTCATTTCATTTTTTGTATTCAAAGTGGAAATCAGTTTTACAGAGAAAGCTCATACATACATAAATATACTGTCTATGCCAAGAAAAAAGAAGCAACCTCCAGATGTTAGACCACAATTCCCATCATCCCCGACCACTGGGCCATGATGTGGGAAGTTGGAACTCAACAACAGGACTACAGTTACCCCATCCCTGATCTGAACAATGAATACCAACACATTTACTGCCCAGCAACTCTCTTCTGCAATGTTGGATAAGCTGCTACTTACAGACCTAGGAGAAAACTGTTCTTTGCCATTTGTAGCCACAGGATAGATGTCTTGGAAAGAGAGGTGGTAGGAGCAGGGAAGGGAGCAGAGCAGACCTAAAGGAGCATTTCCACCCCTTTTGTTCAGCTCAAACACCGAGATCCACCTCTGAGGGCTTTCTAGGGGTTCCCTCATTGCAATAAGTGAGGTTATAGGGAATCAGGTAGAGGGCTTTCTCAGCAGTCATGCCCACCCTGTGGAACACCCTCCCATCATGTGTCAAGGAAATAAACAACTATCTGACCTTTTAAAAGACATCTGAAGGCAGCCCTGTACGGGGAAGCTTTTAATGTTTGATGTTTTACTGTGTTTGGTGTTTTAATTTGCTGGAAGCTGCCCAAAGTGGTTGGGGCAACCCAGTCAGATGGACAGAATAAATAATAATAATAATAATAATAATAATAATAATAATAATAATAATAATAATAATAAAAATAGAGTAAGGTCATGTATAAGGTTCCTTACTAGCTAGGGAGCCCTAGGGAGCCTTAAACAGTAGGCTAGATCTTGAATAATAGCTGTGCTTGTTCATCAACTTGATTTTTAAAAATAGGTTATACATAAAAGTTATTCCAAGAAATACCCATCTTGAATAAAAAGGCATACCAAATTGTTGCAAACAACTGAAGCACACACAAAAAAACTATCAACAAACAACAAAGCTAAGGAACTGGTGTATTAAAAACAGAGAATTATTTATTATAATGAAATAATTCTCCTATATACAAACACTAAACCTTTACTAGGCCAAATCCTATACTTGACTGTATATTTCAACATATGCCCAAAGCGTTTCAACACAAAGTTCTTCAGTGGAGACCTTATTTAACAAAGAACCCAAGCACAATAAATCTATAAAAAATAAAAAATATTAATAGCCCAGAAAAAACCCACTGTACATAACACACAACAAGCTGATACTCACCAACAAGCATTGATCCTTACATATAAAATTTCAGAGGAGAGCAAAGCAATTCACCTCAAACCTCCACTGTACACAACTGTCCTGGATAAACTGATAGTTTTCAACAATCACCAATTAAAACCACATAAATATATACCTTCAAAAATCCCAAACCTCAAAATTAATCTCAAGACTTATCAATTCATTATGACCCTCAGTACAAACCTTCCCAAGCCTCATGTAACTAAGAAGGAAAACAACAGAGGAGTGATATAAACTTGCTAACAGCTAAAGGAGAAAAAGTTTTGACACACCTAGCACCAAGCAAAGGCTTTGAATCTGGAGCAGCAAGATAAATCTGAAGGGAGAATGTAGGTTATATTAATTGTCATGGAAAAGTTTGCACTAATAGTCATTGATAATTTGGTAAGCTTCAGCTTGTTGCTTTATGTAGAGCTGTTTTCATTTTATCGTAAGAACAGGAATTTTAAAAATGCATTTATGCCTTTATTCTTCTTTTGGTTGCTGCAATTCTGCTGTGAAGACACACACTTACAAGTGGTTAAGTCCTCCTAAGATGACCCCAAACGTCATGTGGGTCACTCCAATAATTATAGACATTTTCATTTTGAAGGAATTCAAGAAACTGAGACGATTGTTCGCCAGGTTCCAAATCTGGTAAGAGAGAGAGAGGAGGCAGGCAGAATCAGACTTAACCGAGGAAGAGGAATGTGATATTGGTTCAAATTCTAACTACAAGCAAGGATTTATAGAGCACAGTATGGAGTCCTTCTCCAGCATTCCAGTATGCAAGAAACCCCATGTAGCTCTTTTACAAACAAGCTTAAGTTCTCTTGCAAGTTAGAAAACATGGGACACCCAGGATAATTTCATTGAAATGGAAAACCATGCTACAGTGGAGACAGCAAGGTGGGACTATGCTGAGAATTCTTTGAGGGAGAGGTTCCAAGGGGGCAAACTGAAATGAGAAAAAGGCGTTACTAAGTGGCTCTGCTGACAAGGGTGGGAGGTGACCAGGTATAGGGAACATGAATATTGGGGGGGGGGGAAGGTTCACAAAAATAGCTCATAGTGCCTTTGATCAGCTACCTTCTGTGGGACAAAGCTGTTAGGAACACAGGGCGCTGTCTTATCCCAGAAACAGGCCCTTGGTCCAGCTAATATTGCCTATGCCAAGGGTGAGTAGCCTGTGGCCGTCTAGGTGTTGTTGGGCTCCAACTCACATTAGCCGCAAACAGAATGGTCAATGGAAAAAGATTATGGGAGGTAGAGTCCAGCAACAGCTGGGAGGGCCACATTATCTCCATTTCTGGTCTACTGACAGCAGCTCTCCAGGGCGTCAGGAATAACTTTCTTCCCAGACCCACCCAGAAATGTCAGGGACTGAACCCTCCACCTTTTGCATGTACACTTCCTTAAGAAGTAAGGAAGAGTTGCCAACCCTATAGGACTATCCTAGCAAGCAGAAATATTTATAAAAATTAAAGCTGTAAATCTGTTGACCTATGATTCAGAACCATAAAACTGCCAATTCTTCTTTAAAGGGTCATCGTTGACACACAGTGGAAGCTCCAGGGAAGAACACTAACCGGGTCTATGCCAAAAGGATAAGGTCCTATGAACACTCCAGTTGCATTTGGATTTAACATCAAATACTGATTCTTCATGTCTTCCTCACTGTTAGGGGGAAAAAAGCACACAGCAGAATTAAGACTTGAACGAAGATATTTGTATCACCACAATAGGCTATTTGCTGTCAGAAGCTCCCGCAAGATCCCACAAGGATCTTGTGACATCTTGCAGGTAGGGCTGGGGAACACTCCCATCTGAAATCCTGCCAGTCAGTCACTGTACACAATGGTTAGCTACATGGAACAATAGTCCAACTCAGTATTTACAGCCTTCCAGAGGCCTTGTGCAACCTTCCCAGAGGCTGGTGAGCATGGTGGAGGGCTTCAAAACTATTTCCATGGCAGCGAAAGGCAGTGCAGAAAGAGCTTTTCTTGTGCCTTGCTTACCTGGCTCTGGGAAGGTCACATGACATCTCAGGTGTCGCCTTCCAACTGTTTCTGCCCCGCTCCCCGTTTATCTATTTATTTATTTTCCTGCCACCCATCCAAAGCTGCAATTGTGTAAGTAAATCATGCTTCAGTTGCAGTTACTGTATTAAGAGAGATATGCTTCTCAACTAGCTTGACAGGGAGTTGTAAGGAACTCTAAAACTCGCTCCATAAAAAATAAATGTTGTAAGATGCAAAAATAGAATATACAGACTAGTATCTTTGGACAGGGAAAGCTCTTGAGAAGACGAAATGTTTTGGCTGTTGGCAAAAACCAGGAGCTAATGTGGCCAGAGAGTTCTGCACCATAGAGGACATCACCACAAAGAAAGCCCTGATCCATTCCCCCATAAATTTCACTGTTCTCATTGTTCCCTGCTTACAGGAGAGAAGGGTAACAGCCATGAAAACTGCCAGCTCCTACAACAAGTGTCCATTTTCTTCCAGTATAATAATTATAATGAATACAATTTATATCTCATCTTTCTCCCATAAGGAGAGCAGGGTGGCAAATACATCAATAATGGAACATTTTTTAAAATGTATAAAAACAGTGACCTCAGGTTTGACAGGAACAGCATCTTTCAGCTGTCAAATGCCTGAGTAAACAGGGATGTTTTTTAAATTTCTCCTGGAAGTAAACAGGAATTAAAAAGAAAAAAATCACCTGGAAGTCAATCATGAGGGCGAAAAACACACCTCACCAGGGAGAGCATTCCACAACCATGGGATGGCTACTGAAAAGGCCCTGTCACAGGTCAATGCCAACAGAGCAGCCCCTGGTGGTGGCACCACCAACAAGTATACAGGTAGCTAGTAAATATGTCCTTCAAGTGAAGGACATATCCCTCTCATTAAATGACTGAGAAAAGGTACCACAATATTTTAGCATGGCAGTTACTGGCTGTTGCTTTCCAGTAAGCCATTTATTATTCTGAACACCACAAAAAGATACTTCATAATTGAACTGAAAGGCTTAAAAAATTAATCATGAAAATGGCAGGAATTGGAGGCACATTTCATTTACCGTAGAACATGGGTAGGCAAACTAAGGCTTGGGGGCCGGATCCGGCCCAATCGCATTCTAAATCCGGCTTGCGGACAGTCCAGGAATCAGTATGTTTTTACATGAGTAGAATGTGTCCTTTTATTTAAAATGCACCTCTGGGTTATTTGTGGGACATAGGAATTCATTCTCCCCCCCCCCCCAATATAGACTGGCCCCCCACAAGGTTTGAGGGACAGTGGACAGGCCGGCTGCTGAAAAAGTTTGCTGACCCCTGCTGTAGAATGAGTGAAAAGTATGCTGTGACAAGTTTAGGACACTGCACAAATGGGGAGAGATACCTCTGAGCTTCCTATCTTAATACAGTAGGTTACTTTCACACCGCACTGGGTTTAACAAAGGAGTCACTCACCGCCATTCCACAGCAAACATTTGGGAAACGTTCCAGTGGGAGTCAAATATATTCAAAGACTTTGAAAAACAGTCGTTGTAGATCAGGCCAGTGTATACAGAAAACAGTCCCATCAGCAAGATGATGTATCGCCCTTGAAAAAACATCTTCATGATCTGCAAATGTTAAAAAGGACAGGCCCACTGACTGCCATGTGAACTTCAAAGATAAGACCCTTTGTTACATGTGCAGCACATAAAAGCTTTGATGCGCTTCCAAACAATGTATTTGATGTGGTGCAGTGTCCAGATATGCCACAATTCAGTTACGTGGTACTGCAATGTGTGGTAGAAATTCAGCAGAAGCAGCAGCCAATCTTAGTAAGGATGCAGTGTGCTTTGTGCATAAAGATATAAGAAACCGCTCTGCTGGATGCATTCAGCTTCCAAAAGTGGTCAGCCAGATGCCCCCAGAAAGCTCACAAGCGAGGAATAAGGATTTGATGAATTACATCTCTGCTATTTAGAATTTACCATCAGTTTATGCATGCCTTTGGGTGAGTCCAACACATGGTGCTTCTACACTAGAAGAAGTTGTCACCTTCCATACAACAATGGATGAATGATTTGCCCTCCCTTGCCCAAATCAACAAGAGAAAAAAGGAGCTAATGATGCACTGCAGCTCCATCCACCCCAGGCAGCATGGCTAATGATCAGGACGATCAGTTGTCCAAAAACAACTGGAGGGCTTTCTGCAATGTTTTTGGACTACACTCCCATCATTCCTGACCCAGTCCTGACCACTGGCCATGCTGCCGGGGCTGATGGGAGCTGCAGTGCATCAGGATCTGCGGGCCCTTCGCAAGATGCAATTCAAGTCCAGCTTCCACCATCCCTGACTAGTGGCCATGCTGCCTAGGGCTGCCAGAAATTGGAAGTTCAGCATGATCTGCAGGGACACAGGCTGCTCAATTCTGCTTAAAGTATTCCCCCTTCTATGTGGCAGATACACTACGCAAAACTCCAGTGGGGGGTGGGGGAGAACTAAGGGGCCGTTTACAGAAATAGAAATATTGAAAACAATACTAGAAGAAGAAGAAGAAGAAGAAGAAGAAGAAGAAGAAGAGGAAGATTATTTCATCTGTACCTCGTCTTGTGATCTCAGGAGTTTGGGGTGTTTTTCATATAATACCATGAACAAAGCAAACAGGAACATTATGAAACCATGTCCACAATCTCCAAACATCACAGCAAATAAGAAGGGAAAAGTGATGATGGTGAAGAGAGCTGCAAAATGAGAGGGACAAAATTTCAGCTTTATAAGCAACTATACATAATGCATAGTATCCATAAGCTTCCTATGCTAGCTTACTCTAAGTCATTGTTTTAAAGTGCCAGAATTTGGCTCATTTTGGCCCTTGAAAGAAGGGAGGAAAAGCATAATCCAGCCACTGCTCTGCTCTTCCATGTTCCTCCTCAAAACCTGGCCTTTCCATGAACATTTTTGACACACTCTCTTGGGCTATATGTCAAGCTTGTTGATTTCAGAGGGTCTGCTCTGACATGCCAAATGCAATCTAGTTCTCCCAGTCTACACTGCTCATCTGCTGCCCAAGGGGCATCTCCCCTCTGTCCACCTGGATGTGTAAGCAGCTGAATTTACTTTGCGCTCTTATGCACACTGCAGCACACGGTAAACCATTGTTGCTAACAAGTGTTAAATAGCAGACACTTTTCCATGCCTTATAAAGATTTCTTAAGAAACTCCTGCAACCATTCCTAACAAAGGAGAAAAAATAAATCCTGCTTCTCAATAAGTATCTTTCAGTCCATGACCCACCTGGATTAACTTCCCTGTAGCTCCCAATCCCATAAGCATCAACAATGTCCTGGAATCCAGAGGTGAATTTATTGGTACGTATCAAAGTTGGAGGCGTTTCTTTTGTTGGTATCGTGTTCATGAACGAAGGGACAGATGCTCCACTTTCACTCTGGTTACAGAATTTAAAAAAGGAGACCTGTATCATTTTTTGAGACGCTGGAAAAATAACACTGATTTCCACATTCTGTTATCCAGACAATGAGCATGAGCAGAAATGGGGTGGGGATGTGCAGAGTCAGACTTGAGCCACCCCAGCTCTGATGATGTACACATACAAAACTCTCCATGTCATTCACATGCTAGAGTACATGCTTCAGAACTAGGTGTGCACACCCCTCCTCTGTAACCATGAGATCCAAATGTGTGTATGTCAGCCAGGGCGAGCCTGTGCAACTCCAGCCTTCCACCTCACCTGATGTCCACAGAGGTCTACAGACAATCCTCAGAAAGCCTTGCTGTTTGCTGAACTTCAGCCATAACCTGTTCATGCAAGGCACTGAGTTTCATTATCCACGCAACTCAGAGCCTCCTCCCTTCTATTTATAAAGAAATGCATGTAATTTATCATTCATACTGAAAACCCTGAATGCTACATGCTGCCAGTGCAACATTCTCTCCTACCATTCAGTACATTCAGCGCAGTGCAGTGGGTCCCTGCTGAGATGAAGACAGACAGTCTCCTTGCGGAACGTCAGGCACATGATGCAGACCTTTTTCCTCCAGCAGGCACTTTAAGAGGGTGTCTGGTTTTATGATAAATTTTATTGTCCCATTTTCTGTGCATTGTTTTTACGTACATTGATTAGAAATGTTAACAATTAAGTGGTATAAAAAAATAAAGCAAACTAAAATTTAAATCACTTACAGATCCTTCCTCAAGGGCTCGGCGCATGTTTGGCAGGTCAGCCACTGGGCACCAGACCTCAGCAATCAGGCATTTGTTGGTGACATCAAAGCTGCAGAGATTCAGCACGTGATAAATGGCTTTCATCTTCTTCACTTGGACATCCCAGGTGTAGATAGACTCAGACGCCTTGCATAAAACTTGCCGTAAATAATCTTCAGTCTTATGCAGTACCTTTGTTGTTGTTTTTAGAAAAATATTTAAAACTATAGCAAGAACACTGAACGAACAGGGCAACTTTATACAAAGTTCACACAACTGCCCTCGCTATCTATACTCACATAGGTCTTTCAGTATTGATTTTATCTACTGGCAGCTCAAAAGCTATTCCATCTGGCTTCAGGCGGCCCAACTAAAAATGCTTTAAAGTTGTAAGAAATAAGAGTAGGGTTGTACAGTCTTTCCATCAAGGGGCACATTCCCTCAGGGAAAATCGGTTGGGGCCCCCCTGTTTCTGGATTAACTACTCCAGAATAAAGGCCGCCCTGCTACACTTCCCACATGCCTACCTCCAATTTGAACTGCCAACACACAAACCTAAGACGAACCAAGTGGCGCAGGCCAATGGCCCATCTAGTCCAGGATCCTGTTATCATCATGGCCAGTCAGATGCCTGTGGGAAGCCTGCAGTCTGGTTCCATCCCAGCTCAAGTGGAGCCCATCTGTTTTGCACTGGCCCGCCTTGTCCCGGAAAGTTCTCCAATATCTAACAAACCCGAACCACTCCTCCCAACACCACTGTCTCATCCACACACTGAGACTACAAAGCTGCACCTGTCTAGCTGGCCCTTTGTTAGGAACCAGCAGAATTTTCAGAGAGCCTCTGCAGATCTACCCAGAAGTGAGTCCCACTGGGTTGGATGGGTATCAAGAGAAATTATTTTCTTAGTACAACAGACCAGTACAGCTACTGGAAAGCAAGTAATTATATTCTGGCTTGAGTTTATACACATGCTTTCACTCTCTCTTACACACACACAGTGAGGGAGAGAGCGCAGATGGCAACCAATTTCTTTCCAGACAGTTGGGGAAGTATCTTCTTTTCTCCCAAGCCATACAACCAAGATTTTTTGCCCAATCAGTTTATTTTTTATCAAATAAAGTATCGCCCTTTTTATTTGTTCTGAGAAACTACATAGAAAGAGGAGAGTAAATGCACTTTAAAAGGCAAAGGGAGGGGACCAAACAGGTAGGAATGACCTTTGATAGAATGGAAGAGTGTGGTAGCTACAACAGGTGTCAGGTGCTGAATAGAAGAGGTCTGTCTTTTAGATTTCTTAGGTGTACACATTTTATATGTAAAATCCTATGCCTGAGTACACATATAACAGCTCATAAACTGTAAAGAGTTCCCAGAAAGCAGAGCCAATGTTGCCAACACCTGTAAAAAAAGTGAAGTTGATCATCCCTCGTTTACATTAAAGTCCGTATGGTTGAAAGTTGGCCCAACCTCTTTTTTTAACCTTCTTCCTTAACATTCTTCCATGAGACGATTTCTGCCTGAAAGGTGCACCAGTAATTTTCTACTCACCATATGAAGATCCTGAATGCGAACCTGAAGTCCTTCCATAACTGTTCGGCGCTCCTCAGGGGTGCTAGGATAGGGGTAGACATGGCAATGGTAGCTGGCAAAAAAACAGAAATAGTTTACATAAAAGAGCCCAACATAGAAGAGCAGAGCAGAACTGCAAAACAAAAGCAGAGGGAACTTAATCTGGTCTTGCAAAAACAACACAAAAACAAAGCCTAAAATAGTTCTGGAATATAGGAAGCTGCTTTATACTGAGTCAAGAGCGCTGGTTTATCTATCTCAGTACTGCCTACTCTGGCTGGCAGTAGCTCTCCCAGGTTTCAGACAGCAGCTTTTCCCAGCCCTAACATGGAGACACCAGGGAATGAACCTGGGACCTTCTGCATGCAAGGCAGATGCTCTACCACTGAGCTACAGCCCTTCCCCAACTCTGGATACAGAGCTGAAGAAGTCTGCCAGGGTGATGGATCAGCACAGCAGCTGTCAGACTGTGTACCAGGAAACAAAGGCGCCTTGTAAGTTTTATCAGGGGTTCCGGGTTGAGAAGTTCAACAATGGCAGACAAACTCTACTTAAAGACTTTTTGCCAAGAATAATTTGCAGGTATGCAGTAAGGATCAGGGTTATGGTCAAATAAATATTAGTGTATTTAATTGAACATACTGCTCACCATTTTTTGCCAAATTACATCACAAAACATAGGGTGCACATTAGATTTAATGGAGCATTAGATTTGATTGCAAGCTTGAAAAACACTGCTAACATAGCAAATACTTTTTTGGTTTCAAGGTTTCGAAAACTGAGGTGTGCATTAGATTCAGATAAATATGGTGTGCTGCCACCTTACTAAAGCTAGACAGGCCTGAGTCCAATCAGTGGCTGAATAAGAAACCTCCAGGGCACCTTGTGCAGGTCACCTTATTGCCACTGAAGATATGCAAGATACAAATGCAATTAATAAGCACATATGTAGCCACAGAAGTCATGCTTTCAGGTGCATACTCAGTTTCCCAACGCCGATGCTGTTATTATTTTACAAAGTGGTCAAAATATAAAAATCTCAGTAGGAAAAAGTAAAGCAAATTAAAGTATGTTAATTCTTACCAGTCACATATTTTCTTAACTTTCTGGCCTATCTGTTCACCCCAATAAGATATTAAGAAAACAAACCATTTGGTAGGTTCTCCCTGAAAAGTAAACATAAATTGTTCAATTAAACTTTGGCCTACAGTTCCACTTCATTGGTGATCGACTAACCACTCATATTGAACCAACTGCACAATTTCTTTGAAAAATGAATTTTGATACACAAAAAGGGTAGATAGGGGTTTTTTGTATTCTGTGAAGAGATTCCACATGCACAAAGCTCTGGTACAGGCTTAACTCTTAAAATCCCCAATGAACAGCAAAATTATGGCTAACCTTATTGAGACTGCTCCCATTTGCCTAGTGCCCATATTTGAACAATATCACAAGAAACCATGTTTTGCCAAGACAGGAATGAGCTACAGCCTCAGGCTTGCATACTTCCCCCACGCTGGCACAGCTGCGAGGAGGGGTTCAGAACCTTTCATTTCCATTCTTTATTAACTGCACCTTGTCGGTTGATCTTAAGCCTTTAATCAGCGCTTTTAAATATTTTTTAAAGAAAAAAACTCCCGGTACTCACCATGAAGTTGTTACAGTAAGTGCCACACTTTTAACATGGGGGGGGGAGGTACTGCATGCCCTTGAGCAGGGGTAGGCAACCTAAGGCCCATGGGCCACAAGCGGCTCACGGGGATCGTTTAACCAGCCCACGAGTCTCCCCCAAACCAAGCCGCCCGCTCAGCTAAACCGGCGCAGCATGGCACGGGGGCTCACTTCTGCAGTGCCAGAAATCGCACCTGCGCAGACGCTGAAAATCGCAGGCACACACGTGTGCACAATCCAGCCCACAGAGGGATCTCTGCTGGAGTGAACTGGCCCAGGCAAGGTAAACCTTGTCGACCCCTGCCCTTGAGTATCCTCAGGAAAAAATACTGCCCTTAACTATGCTTTGTTTGAAGCTTCAGACCATGTGCTACAAAGTTGGCTTGTTTCAACAAGCCATCATTAAGATTAACCATACTTTAAGGTTCAGATGAAACACATTGCATTTTAATCAAAACCAGATGTGAAAGTTTGTAATCTCCTCAGAGCTACTTTTCAGCCATGGTTTACTTCTTGCAGAAGTAACTCAGTTCAAACCCAGTTCAAATCATGTTGTCATATACTGTACTGGTTTGTAGCTGATCTTTAACCATGCTTTAGCTATTCAGACATAAAAGCTTAACCATGGTTTAGAAAAACAAGTCACAGTTAAACATTATGGTTTGGATACTGAGTAAGCAAGTCACACTTAGGTGCCATACTTTTCACAAAGTGGGATAAGTTATTGTAAGCTGGCTGGAAGCCTCTTCGGCTAAAAAAAATCGAATACAAATACTATTAAATAATAAATACTCCATTTCTACAGGATCCAGGTGTGATGAACTTACTTTGGATCCAGCCATAACACCCGAGTAGCAATATATACTTTGCGTGCAGATGTATAATTTAGATGAGGAGGTGGGCTGATCCAGCACCGACCTTCAGAAACAGGCTGCATTATTTATCTATCCTGATTACTCACGGTATCTGGATCTTCTAGGCACTCGTCCAGTTCTGAATAAGAAACAATTGTATATCCTTTGCAGACTCGCCACAGCATTTTTTCAAAGGCTTCAATTTTTGCTCGGTGAACTAAGCCAGATATAAATCTATATTGAAAAAAAATACAAAGTATACTACAGAGCAAACTTTATATTTTATTACATGAGCATTTGGACCAGAAAGGATACCATATTCTATCATTACATGCCAGTGAAGTTAGGAAGGGCTGGGCATTCACAGATTATCTGTAAACTAAAATGCCTCTGCCACTCAGGTGCACATGGAAACCACTAAAATTACACAAGGTCATACCAAGTGAGCTACAAGATCCCAGCACTTATAACAATTTTTAAAATCTACTAATCTTCTCCTTACTTAAAAAGACAATAGGCACATGAAGGAAACACAATTGGTTATCAAATATCAAACCATGCAGAGCTCAATTCAGTATGACACTGATTGGTGCCAAGTGTTAATACTGTCAGTTTGGAGCTCTGAAACAAGTTTGAGGCTGCCAATCTGAACTCACTTACTAGGGAGTAAAGTCTACTGAGGTCATTGGTATTTACTTTGGAGTAGGCAGGATAACTACATAAAACTACGCTCATGCAAGCACTCACCTGCATGCATGACACCTAAACGAATAGGATTAATGCAGGTTTGCTTCCTCACTAGAAGGGAAAGACTAAAGAAGAGCTAAATTATTCAAAAAAATTGCCATATCTGTGGCACCATCAAAGTGGTCAGGCCTTCATTTTCATATAAATGTGAAATGACCACTTAACTGTTAATGGTCATCTATAGTCGTACCTCGGACGTTGAACAGAATCTGTTCCAGAAGTCCGTTTCCACTTCCAAAACAGTCAGAAACCAAGGCACGGCTTCCAATTGGCTACAGGAAGTTCCTGCAGCCAATCAGAAGCTGCATCAGACATTCGGGTTCCAAAGAACGTTCACAAACCAGAATAACGGTTTGCGCCATTCAGAAGCCAAAACGTTCGACTTGCAGGGCATTCAGATCCAAGGTATGACTGTATAGACTTTTTCATCACTTACCCCAGTTTGGCACCGAGTCTATGCATGCAGTTGTAGTCCGCTAAGCGGTCCGTTTCTAAAGTTGGGAATTCTTCATAATTCGTAAGTAAACAGGACTCAAACTAAAGAGAAACAAATGAAAGAAAACACTTCTTCAAATGAGCTAGGGCTGCGCCCAAATCACAAGGGAGTGATGATCACCAAGAGAGATGGGAAATGAGGCTTAAGGCCACTGCATTTGCCTGCATTCAATGGCATTCAGTGCCTCACAGGACTGCAGCAAGGCCCACTGCTGCAAGAATCCAGCAGCCATTATCAGGTACTAGGTGAGCCCCGGAATCTGGCCTGTGGCTCACTGCCTCCCTTCTGTACACCCAAGTTAAGGAGCTTTGCCATGCAACGGTAACAGTACCTCAGCAGTTCTTCTGACAAAGGACCGGGTGACCCGTAGCATGTGGGTATATTCCGTCAGCTCAAGGAGATTCTTCCTCAGCTTCTCTTTATTTTTCGTCACTTCTCTCAACTCCACCTCCAACTTCTGCAGCTGCTCCTGCAATACAAGGGCAAAAGTGCATTCCCATTCTGGCTCCAGATGTTGTATGGCCACAAGTCCCATGACAGTCATGCAATTGTTACAGTGCTGGGCTAGCACTGGGTCTACTGTACAAAATCCTCAAGGCTCAATATTCCTTTCTGAAATAAGCTTATTGTTGGCATCCATCTGTTTCACAAGACATTGGAGGAGTACACCTTTGGGGGTCATGTCAAACCACTGGGGAGTTAGCTAGTCACTCTCAATCTCGATTGAGTCTCAGTTCCATAATGTAAAATTTGTTTAGTAGTTGCATCATGGTAGCTTCACAATAGTCTGCTTCTCAAACTCATTCCTGTCTGTTTCCCTTACCTAAAGTGTACAGCTTTTCCTTCTTCCTCTCCGTCTTTCCTCTTCCTGCAACGCTGCACTGCTCTTTCCTCTTCTCTGCCTCTGTCTTCCATCTCTGGCCTTTTGAAGTGGCCAGTCCTTTGTGACTCTGCCTGCCCCCCTTCAGTCAACCAGTTGCACCTCATGATGTTTGCAAGCTTTGGGCACCCCCGCATACATCATAAGTAGGCACCACAACTCACTGGTATTCCCAATCAGTCCCACTACTGTGACTCAAACAGAAGAAAACCCACTATGCCCCAATTTACCACACAAAAATGAAGAAGGTATTTAGTATTTCTTTGGCAACTATTGATTTAATTCTGAAAGATGAAAGATCTGTACTCTCTATTCAATGACTCTAAGCTCACTGGATGGGCCCAAACAAGTCAGTGCCTCAGCCTAAACTGCTTCACACGGTTGTTGTTACAAGATTAAAACGCCACTCATGAGCTACCGTATTTTTCACCCTATAGGACGCACTTTCCCCCCGCCAAAAATGAAGGGGAAATCTGTGTGCGCCCTATGGAATGCAAGCTTTCGCTGAAGCTTGGAGAGCGAGAGGGGTCGGTGCGCACCGACCCCTCTCACTCTCCAGGCTTCAGGCAGATATCCACAAGCCTGGGGAGCACGCTGAAGCCGTGGCTGGGGGGGGGGGAATAATTTTTTTTCTTTATTCCCCCCCCCCAAAAAAAACCCTAGGTGCGTCCTATGGGCTGGTGTGTCCTATAGGGCGAAAAATACGGTACTTGAAGGAAAGTTGGGAATCCGAGTATGCAAGCTCTCACAATTGGCCCAAAATAAAGGAAAATAAGTGGATCTATGACTACCCTTTAATTCCAGAAGATCCCCATTCCACAAAGTACCTGAATCTCCAGCATCTGCTTAAACGGAGGGGCAGCAGGGGTAACATCTCCTTCTGGTAGGGGAATGTCCGCTCTCTTAATTTCTTGCACAAGGTATCCTGGAATAAAGGAAATAAATACTTTCAAAGGAGTATTCTAACTCAAGGAATATTGTTCCACAAAAGGTTTGCTAGGGAATGGGGAATTTTTTCAACTCTCAGGGTTATTATCCTTGGGGAACTCTTGGCTACATAGATTTGGCTGCTGCTCTGGGAATACTCTGCATTGCAGAGGATGCTAAATACCTTCCAGGGCTCCCAAAGCTCAAGGAGGCCTCTCCATAAGCCTGTCAGGCCACAATGTTACACCATGTGAACTGAGATGTACAGTAGAATGTGTTCAATTCTTGCTTTGCAGATGCTGCAAACTAGAAATCATCAATAATTTATTTATTTGCATTTATTAATCACTTCCTATGAAAGTTCCCAAAGTAATAAGAACATATATACAAACAATTAAAAGAATTTAAATATAAAACAATTCCAAAACCAATACAGCCAGTGAGCCAGTGTGGTGTAGTGGTTAAGAGTGGTGGACTCGTAATCTGGTGAACCAGGTTCGCGTCTCCGCTCCTCCACATGCAACTGCTGGGTGACCTTGGGCTGGTCACACTTCTTTGAAGTCTCTCAGCCCCACTCACCTCACAGAGTGTTTGTTGTGGGGGAGGAAGGGAAAGGAGAATGTTAGCCGCTTTGAGACTCCTTAAGGGGAGTGAAAGGCGGGATATCAAATCCAAACTCTTCTTCTTCTTCTACAGACTGGGACAAAAATCTCCACTTAAAAGGCTTGTTGAAAAAGGAAGGTTAAAAACAGGGAAGAAAACTTTAAAGTTTCCAATTGTTTCTTTGCAGCTGTGTCTCTACCCACCATGCATTGCAGGGGGTTGAACGAGATGTCCCTCAGGGTCCCTTCCAACCCTACAATTCTATGATTCTATGTGACATAAGATGTAGAGTAGTTGGGCTACTGGGACCAATTTGGTCCACACACCAGAGGTTCCCCACCTCTGTCTGAGAGCATCTTTTCCCAACGTAGTGCCATCCAAGTAATTGGACTACAATTCCCATCAGCCCCAGCTAGTTTGGTCAATGGTTTGGTCCCATCAGATGTCAAGGAAATAAACAACTATCTGACTTCTAGAAGACATCTGAAGGCAGCCCTGTTTAGGGAAGTTTTTAAATGTCTGATGTTTTATTGTATTTTTAATATGTTGTAGAAAGCAGCCCAGAGTGGCTAGGGAGACCCAGCCAGATGGGCAGGGTATAAATAAATTATTATTATTATTATTATTAGGGATTGCAGTAGTTCAAAACACCTGGAGGGCACTAGATTAGAGGATGCTACTTTGGATAATTGGATCTTGGGCTTTACAGATGGTGATTCAACCAAGTTTCACTCACACTTAGTCATGTTTATTAATTTCACTGGGTCTAAACTGAGTGCATAGCTGAATATCTCTTCAAGGTCTTTTTAGAGCTTTAAAGGTGAGATTCACCACTACAATTTGAGCCCAAAAAGAAAGTGATTTGGATCCACAGTTTGTTGCACTTACGCCTCACTGAAATCAATGAGACTTAATTCATTGACATGTCCCATTAAGTCCCACTGATTTCAATGGGAATGAAGTGCAATTTATTTAGTCTGGATACAATCCATTGGCTACAAGAATAAGTTGCACAGGGCAGGTGTTAGTTATCTGATCATCCTACTCCTATCAACATCCCTGCAGCCGCATTTTGAACCAGTTGATGTTTCCAGCATAAGGGCAACCTCATGTAAAGAGCAATGCCATAATCCAAGCAATACACGTATGGAGCAATTTAACACTTGAAAAAGCTGTTGAAGGTGGGTCACTTACATAGTCACCTGACAGCAAATTTCAAAATCTGAGCACTTGGTAAAACTAACAACTGTGTTAAGCCAGCAGTTTAAAAGCATGAGAATGCAATTTGCAACACAGAGCAATGCTTTCAGCAATGCTAAGGATTTAAATAGCTTCTAATCACATTGTTTTTTAATAAGCTTATCTCATTTCCCTGAAAGGCCAAGGGGGGCGGGGAATGATCAAATGAACCAACAGCTCCGATTTTTGGAAAGGGAAATAAGCATGAAAGCTGAAGCAAGGGTGGCTTCAAGTAAAAAAGAACTGGGCCTGGACCTCAGCCACTATTCTTGCCTAAGTAAACTCAGTTTCAAATTGGTAGACTACAGAATACACACCTATCTCAGTGAAACATGAGCCCCCCAAAAGCAGCACAAAATAGCTATTGTTATTCTAGGCTGCATCAACAGAAGTATAGTGTCCAGATCAAGGGAAATACTAGTGCGTCTCTATTCTGCCTTGGTCAGACCCCACCTGGAATGCTGTGTCCAGTTCTGGGCACTACAGCTTAAGGATGGAACGTGTGCAGGAGGGTGACCAAGATGATGCAAGGGTCTGGAAACCAAGCCTTATAAGGATCGGTGGAGGGAGTTTAGCCTGGAGAAGAGGAGACTAAGAGGAGATATAATACCCATCTTCAAATAAATGAGGGGCTGTCAAATGGAGGGTGGAGCAAGCTAGTTTTCTCCTGCTCTGGGGGGTAGAACCCAAACCAATGGATTCAAGTTACAAGAAAGGAAGAACTTTCTGATGGTAAGCACTGTTCAGTAATGGAGCAGACTCCTTCGGAAGGTGGTAGACTCTCCTTCACTAGAGTTTTTAAAGCAGAGGTTGGAGATTCCTGCATGCATTGCAAGGGGTTGGACTAGGTGACCCTTGAAACACCTTCCAAGCCTACAATTCTATTATTCTATGACCCTGTGAAATGTGACCCTGAAATGGACCTCCCTACAGAGGAACAGCCTTTTGCCGGGGTAATCAGGTATGCCTCCCTCCCCCAGTGTTTAATGCATGATGAAGAAGCAGTCAGCCACCCTGCAGTTCCCAAGTTTACCAAGTATCCTTTCCATCTCTTCACACTTCTTTACTTCACCCACATATTTCCGTTGGAAGACACTGGTGCTTGGATTGAGCTGGAAAAAAGGAAAATGTTATTTGCCCCAAGATCCAACTTAAAAGCCCTTTGCATCAATATTTACAGTAGGGGTGGGGAACCTGGGGCCCTCCAGATGCTGCTGAAGCACAACGCCTGCAATCCTGGACCATTAGCTCGTGCCAATAACTAACTTTGGAGGGTACCAGATTCCCATTCCCTGGTTTGCAAAAATCAATTCTAGAGACACATATTACAAAAATAGCTGAAACTGGGTACCCAACAGCCATTCTATTTTCACCTCTGTTCTACCTCCACTGCTGGAGACAGGATGCTTCTGAATGCCAGTGGCTGGGAATCATGAGTGGAGAGAGAGTGGTGGCATCCATGTCCTCCTTGTGGGCTTCCTGTGGGCCTGCAGTTGGTTCACATGGAAACACGATGCTGGAGTCATGGGCATTTGGCCTGATCCCTCAGGGCTGTTCTTATGTTCACAATCAAACATCCAAGTTCTGAGTTCAACCCTCCCTCACCCCTAATCCTGCTAAAAATACTTTTCTTCTTTTAGAAGAAATTCCATTCAAAAATTGAAGGGTACCCAAGCATTAGTACTACATTACAAGCTTATACCACTTTTCTGTGAACAGCAGATCCCTTGCATTGCTTTTGAAATTCTCAGTCTCAAAAACCTATGTGTGCCATCGTCCGAGATATGTTAATTAAAGGAAGAGAAACCCAAACTCTCCTTAAGCACACAAAAATAATTTGTGTTGTATAAATCCTGGCCAAAGGGCTCCATTATAGTAAGTAAACACTATTTTAAACAGTATTTAAATTCTGAATTCAGCTTTTGTTTACAAAATGATGAAGGCTGCAATATGAATAGTCATCTATAAGACTGCACTAATAATTTACAATTCTCTAACATAGAACCACACAGAAGTGTAAGAAAAGACAATCAACATAACCAGGGGCTAAATAATTTTCTCTACACGTAAAGGTGAATGAACCCTAACATGAGGGAAACCCACATGGATGCTCAGTTTCCAGGTCTGAAAATTGGCTTTCTGCAGTATTAGTAAACATGTGTAGAAGTTTGGGCTATAAGTGTTAAATAGTACAAAATATCTATGGTGCTTAATTATTATATATCACGATACAATTTTTTAATGAAAAAACATCTGAGGATGCAGACTCTGGTACACCGAAGTTTATGGTGGTATAAATATAAAGTGCAGCAAGCTAACAGCTACCCCTCTGGAAATAGTTTGTATGATAAACTATGGTTAAAAGGAGGCTAGTGAAGATTATCAACTCCTCCAAACAAGCAAAATCAATGCACTTAATTTTAACTTACAGGTGAGTCCCCATTCCATTCTGGGCCTGTGCACATGTACAAAATCGCATAAAATGGGGAGCACTCTGGAGAGTCCTCCTCAAACAAGCCCCATGGTCCGTCCAGCTCATGCAAGATAGAGAGGCAGCAGAGCTGGCCCAGCTGACACGTGCGGGGACAGCTGACACTCACAGGAGCTGGACTGATAGCGGGGCTCAGCTGACCAACGCGCCAGCTCCCACAAACTGGAGGGACAGTGGGGCTTGGTTGACCAGGTGCTCCCCATTTCTAGCTACCACTTCCAGGTACCTAGCACTGTGCAAATAACAATGCACATAAATGAGGATTTGCCTGTATTTATTTATATTAAGCCTCAAACTGAAACTAGTTCAAGTGTTAATCTGATATTAGTGCTTCAGTGAGAAAGTGGTTTTTGCGTATCTACTGTAAAACTGCAGGAAGACAGATGTAAAACAAAGGGTCAAGCAAATGATTATTTCAACACAATAAATTATGAACTAACATCTTAAAGACCTTTGCTCAAGAGCCAAGCCATAATTCCATATTCTGTTCACCAGCTTCTAAAGGTAGGCCTAGAATGTCTGAGTCATAAAACCAATAAGCAAATGTAATAAAGACAAGGAAATAATGAACTTCTCAAACGACTTCTGTTAATCAGTAAATGTTTTGGACCCTGGCCATTCCTATTACCAGCATGGAAGAAATGTTGTATGGTAGCATCCTAAATGTTGGAAAGTAGGACCCAATTAAACAACAAAACCCACAATGGGCCCCCCTAATACAATGCATAACAGCAAATCATTCACTATTCCCAGTTAAGCACCTGGTTATACAAGAGCACTAAAAGTTTTTTCCTAGACTGTTTGGGTTATAAGGCTTGTGAGAACAAAAAAAATGGGCTCACACATACAGAACTAGCTGGACGATACAATGGATCCTGGCCATCTTTATAAATAATTTGGATAAAGGTATTGAGAGGATGCTAATCAAATTTGTAATTTTAACCTTCTGTTGGAAGCCACCCCAGAGTGGCGGGGAAAACCCAGCCAGATGGGAAGTGTAGAAATAATAAATTATTAATATTATTATTTGCAGATGACACCAAACTGGGAGGGGTAGCCAATGCCGCTGAAGACAGAATTGGGATTGAAGGTGACCTTAACAAAGATTGGAGAACTGGACCAAAATTTAAATAATGAATTTTAATGGGGACAAATATAAGTTTCAACACTTAGGCAGAAAGAACCAGCTGCACAAATATAAAATGGCTGGCCTGTAGTACAGGAATCAACAGTGTGATGCTGCAGCTATTCTAGACTATTCTAGGCTGCATCAACCAAAGTCTAGTGTTCAGATCAAGGGAAGTAATAGTCCCACTCTATTTTGCCTTGGTCACAGCACACCTGGATTACTGTGTCCAATTCTGGGCACCACAATTTAAGAATTTAATTTAAGAAGGATATTGACAAGTTGGAACGTGTGCAGAGGACGGCAGCCAAGATGATCAAGATGTGGGAAGAGGTTCCTATCCGAAACCTTCGGCTTTGCAATTCGGAATTTATGTGATTTAATTTGATTGGCCGGTTAATAAAAATTATTAAAAAAAAAAAGTTGCTGCCAGTCAGTGATGACAATACTGCACAAGATGGACCAATGGTTTGACTCAGTTTAAGGCAGCTTCCTATGCTCCACTACAATCCTGTGAAGTAAGTAAGCCTGGGAGACGGCAATCAGCCCACATGAAGGCTGAGCTAGGAGCTGAATCCTGCCCTCCATCTCTACAGTATGTGGCCTTCCCAATATTTCTGGGCAACTCACCGCTATCTGCAGGCTTTGGCCATGCTGGTTGAGGCTGACAGGAGCTGGAGCCTCCAGTGTCATCTGTAAGGGGCACAACTCTTCTCCACTTATTCACAGGGCTGCCTGATTTCTTTTTAAGACTGCTCCACAACTGTACAAACCAAATCGTTTGCAGCCTTTCTCAAACTTGGGTTCCTAGCTGTTGCTAGACTTCAAGTCCTTTCATCCCTAGCTAGCAGGCCCAGTGGTCAGGGATAATGGGAGTTGTAGTCCAACAACAGCTAGGGACCCAAGTTCAAGAAACATCATGGCAGCACCAAAGCTCTGAAACTCCCTGCCTAGCTCGGGTGCAACAATTATTCCTACCCATGGATTAATAAGGCTACAGCAGGCACCTTTCACAGAACCACAGAATTGTAAGGGACCACAATGGTCATCAAGTCCATCCTCCTAAAATGCAGAAATCCTATCCATAGCTGTCACTAGGCGGGCTTGAACCATTAACCTTCTGGTTAACAGCCAGACAAGCTGCATTCTCTTCGGGGCCTGATGGAGGAAGAAGTTGTTACTTGGACAAACCTGCCCAGGTGTTTAGAAGCCTGTAGGGGCTTTTAGTCTCGATTCTATGCTGGCCTTTAACTTTCTGTATGTTTTAAAGCAATGGTTGTAAAAAAAAAAGTGATAATTTCATTCTTCTGTTTTTTTTGTAAACCGCTTTGAGGGGTTCCTTCTCGGCACGCCCCCCCCCCCACCCGACAATCAAGCAGCGTATAAATTCCATGAGCCACCAAATGCAGGCGCGCGCCTCTTGTCGCCTCAACTCACGTCTCGGAAGTGGGCGAGGCCGCGCTCGCCCAGGGCGCTGAGGCACTCGTAGGCCGAGCCCGCCTGGAGGAAGAGCTGCGCCAGGCACATCGCCTCGCTGCGGAAGAGGGAGCCCATGGCGGAGGGCGCCCAGGCCGGGCCTGAGGAGGCGCAGCGGCGGGAGCGGCAGAGGCGGCGTCACCGGTCTCCTCGGCGCCGCCTCCGCTCCGCCGTCGCCGCTGCTGCTGCTGCCGTCCCGCTGCGGAGGCGGCTCCGGGGACTGGCGGGTCCCCCGCTGCCCGGTGCCATGGAGGGGAGGCAGGCGAGGGGGGCCGAGACCCGAGTCGCCCCGAGTCCCGCGGCTTCCGGCTTCTCCTCACAAGTCCAGGCGCCGCCGACAGAGAAGGGGCGGGGAAAGCCTAGAGCGGCCAACCGCACGCTCACCTCGGAAGTTCCGGTCAATAAGACAGCGCCATTGGCCCGGGCGCTCTGCCCCTCGGCACCTCTATGGCTGGCCCAAATACCGAGCGAGAAGCTGTTTCGTCTCTGTGGTAGGGAGGAGCAAAGAAGGGCCCAGCCAGGCGGGCCGAACGAAAGCGAGCCCAGAGTTCCTGTGCTTCCCTGGTGGGGCCGGCCATTGCCTTTCCCTTGGGCAGGGCGAGGGAATTCCCAGGCTGCAGCCTCTCGCGCTGGTGCGCCAAACAAACTGGGGGGCGCGAAGGTGCAGGACTGGGGGGGGGGGGGCAAAGGCCTTTGAGGCAAGCTATACATTTTCAACAAACAGAGTTCCAAAGAATCAAGGAATCGGGGGAAGCTGAAAAAACAAGAGCTCCTCCTCATTTTATTGTTTCGTTGTACTGTTCTCCCGATGTTTTGGGGGGAGATGTTGGAATTTCCTCCGACATGAATGTGAAATATAAAACTTGTCTCATCTTGTTATGCAGCAAGTTGCCCTGTCGGTTTTTAATGCAAGACAGCACAGACATTTCCTAAATAAGGCCTAGTGCTGAGCTAATATCCTCTCAGGCAGAAATTCAGCAGCTTCTCATGTTAGGAAGATCTGTGCTCCAGAGGTAGAATAATAATAATAATAATAGTTATAAAACAAATTATAAAACCACAGTAAAACATGAACGTCAGCTTCTTAGCTTTAGAGTAAGAAAACCAACCATATAAGCATTGCCATTCCTCAGCCGAGTTGTATCCAAGGCATTGCAATGAGCGGTACAGCATAGCTAAAAGGGTATTTGGGAAGAGAGTAAAGCCAATGAGCTGTCTGAGCAGAAAGCACAAAGTCTATCAGGAACCTGTCATGGAGAAAGTGTAGGATTGGGTTGCCAGCATCGAGTTCTGTCCAGCACTGCCTCACAAACTTGCCGCTGTCTCTGGTGCAAGGCAGTGAGAAGCTGCCCTTGCATTTAGGTAACTGTGTGTTAACTGGCTTTAAAGGGCTTTTACAAATACTTGTGGTACGGTGGTCTTTTTTTACATCCCACATTATCAAAGAAGTGTGCTCTTCTGGTGGCACTGAGGAGGCCATGATTGTTAAATTTGGTGGGAACCATGTGCCAAGAGTTGGGCAGAGCGTTACGCTTTATGCTGTATGTTTTTCTTCTTCTTCCAAAGATGTACTCCTTGATGTCTGCCTCTTGTCACGTTTCTCTGCCTGGCTGGGACAAAAAGAGCAACCCAGAGCCTTGCAACAAGCTGTGACCCAACGACCAGTACAAGGTATGGTAGGAAATACTTAACTAGGGTTATGATGCTGGTTATCTTATAGGCCAGGGATGGGGAGCCTGGTGTCCAGCAGAGATTGTTGGGACTCCAACTCCCATCAGCCCCATCCCTGAAACCTATGGAAGCTGGGCTAATAATAATAATGGTCATTTGGTGGGAGGAATAATACGCTTCAGCTTTGGAAGGCCTGGTGTGTGTGATCACAGCATTTGGGGTTGGACTAGATGACCCTTGGGTTCCTTCTATGATGCTTCATTCTCCTCTCCAATCTTCTAAACTCTGACTAAATAAGCAGGATAGATCCCTGAGTTTCTGCCATTGACTTGTGGTTCTTCCTGCAAAATTGCTTTTAAGCCCATTCAAGTTGAATGATTAGAGATCCTTTCCTGCCACTTCCGAGTCACCTTCAATGGTAGCCCCACGTAGAGCACATGGTAGTAGTCCAAGCTGGAGATAACGCTTAACCATGCTGCCCTCTTTCAGTTTTATGCGGTGAATGCAGACTATGACAAGCTGAAAAAAGGAGCGCCCAGATATCTGAAGAGCAAATGAATCTGGGAGCTATAGTTTGGGTCTTTGGGTTTGATGCTTTTGTAACTGGATCTGTAATGGCTTTTAGGCAAATACAATAAATGATTGATTGATTGATTGATTGGTGAAAAAGTGCTTTTTTACTGAGATGCTAACTTTCTCTCTGCATGCCATTCCTTGAACAGCAAAGATAAGGCTTGCTTTCATTGCTCTGTTCATTGGTGCATTTGACTAGTGTTATGTGGAGGGAAATGCAGCCCCTGGGCTGAAAAATGTCCCCCTCCTGCCCCCTTGGGTGTCCAGTGTGGCCTTCACAGATATAGACACACCTTGGGGGAGGGTGTTTTGGCTGCTGAGCTGCGCCCCGCCCCCCATTGTGAGGGCTGAGGGTGTGATGGTGATGCCTCCCCAGCTGCTGCCATTGTCTGTGGGTTGACTGTGATGCCACAAACACATTTGGCAGCTGAGCAGGTATAAACGTGGGCCAAGGCGCAAGCCTCGGCAGTTGCCCTCCCCAGAGAGAAATGGGCAGCTCGGGGGCACTCTGCCCTGGTGGTCTCCTGCCCCGTGGCAGCAAGCTGACAAGCGGAAGGAGGCAATCGCCTGGTGCTGGGATGCTGTGGAGCAAGGAGAAGGCAAGTACAAAGTTTACTTGCTGGTGGGATTGCTACCTGAAGGTGACAGATATTCAGCTCTGAAGCTGGTTGATGCCTGGCAATGGACCTGGCGAGGCTGCAGCTGGTGGGTGGTGATTGGAAGAGTTTGCGTTCAGGCTAGTGGATGCCGTGAGGCTACGCTGGCTGAGATGGATGCAAAGTGGTTTGGAAGCCTTGTTTGTTAACAGGCAGCCAAACAGAGGAGGAGTGTGGGGGGACGCTGTTGGATGGGGGCCATCCCACTCACCTCTTTGCCTTTGCCTTACAGGGATGTCCGGAGCCGGTGAGGTTTCCCCCAAGTCCAGCCATCAAAGTCATGAAGAGAAGCGCAGGACGTCCCTATTTACATGGGAGAAATGAACGTGAAATACTGGCAGCAAACAAAGGACAAGGCCATGGCCGTACCTGAGAGAAGGAGCTTTGAAGGAAGACTGCAGGCGGACACCTGCTGCATTGCAAGTGATGGGACAGTGGGGAGAGAGAAGAAAAAGAGGGAGGAAACATTAGGCCACATTAGGCGCACCGTCCATTGGAAGTGCTATGAAGACGCTCTGAACAGGAATGGCTTCCCCTCAGGGATTCTGGGAACTGTAGGTGGTTAAGGGGACAGAGAGTTGTTAGGCGGGTTAGGCTTAGACTTAGGGTTAGGAGTTGGATAGGGGTAGGGGTAGGGTTGAGTTGGGGTAGTGTTGGTTAGGGTTAGGGTTCCCTTCTTGTCAGGGAACTTTGGGAAATGTAGCTCTAGTTAAGAGTTATGGGGTAGGGTTAGGGTTCCCTTCTTGTCAGGGAACTCTGGGAATTGTAGCTCTAGTTAAGAGTTATGGGGTAGGGGTAGGGTTCCCTTCTTGTCAGGGAACTTTGGGAATTGTAGCTCTAGTTAAGAGTTATGGGGTAGGGTTAGGGTTCCCTTCTTGTCAGGGAACTCTGGGAATTGTAGCTCTAGTTAAGAGTTATGGGGTAGGGGTAGGGTTCCCTTCTTGTCAGGGAACTTTGGGAATTGTAGCTCTAGTTAAGGGTTAAGCGTTAGAGTTAGCGTCAGGGGTAGGGTTAGGGTTCCCTTTTCAGGGAACTCTGGGAATTGTAGCTCTGGTTAAAGGTTAAGGGTTAGTGTCAGGGGTAGCGTTAGGGGTAGGGGTAGAGTTCCCTTTTTGCCAGGGAACTCTGGGAATTGTAGCTCTTGGAGGGGAACAGGGGGTCTCCTAACAACTCTCTGCACCCTTTTCAAACTATAGCTCCCAGATTCTTTGGGGGAAGAAGCCATGAGTGTTTAAAGCGGCTTCATAGCACATGAAATGGTGTGGATGTGGCCCTGGCCTCCCTCACCCCACTGCTCCTTATTCTTGAGGAATCGAAAAGATTTCCCCATGCAAATCTCTCGGAAACAATGTATTTCATCTGGAAAACTTTTTAATAAAGATTACTTTTTATTAAAACCTTTGAATGTGTTTGAACTGTGTTTGAGTGCGCAGAGAATGATTTCACTTGACAGCAATGCCCTTAGATTACAGAATCATGGAAGAGTTAGACGGGACCACAAGGGTCTTCAAGTCCAGCCCCTGCAGGAATCTTTTGCTCTACGTGGGGCTCAAAGGACGGCCCTGAGATTAAGGGTCTCGTGCTCTACTCAGTGAGCTATACGGATTGATCTAAATAGCAAACACCCATTATTTATTTTTTACAATTTACAGTCGTGTAAAATAAAGGGTGTAGGAGATGAAATGATTGTTGCCTTTTCATTGTTTAAAGATGTTTTGTTAAGACTTTTGATTCAACACACTTATTTCAATATACAGTTGTACCTTGGTTTTCGAAGTTAATCTGTTCCGGAGGTCCGTTCTTAAACCAAAGCGTTCTTAAACCAAGACGTGCTTTCCCATAGCAGCAGGGGACTCAATTTACAAATGGAACACACTCAACAGGAAACGAAACATGTTATGCAGCCAAAAAGCACTTTTTCATCAATCAATCAATCATTTATTGTATTTGACTAAAAGGCATTACAAATCCAGTTACAAAAGCACCGAACCCAATTAAGAAATAGGTTGTCCAACCCCCCTGGAATGCAGGAAATTCAGCTGAAATTGAGGAAATATTTGTATTTCTGTAGTGCTATTAGGAATACTCGAAATGGGTACCCACCCACCTCCCTTCATTTTGGGGGGGGGGTTCTCTGCCCAGCAGCTTCCCTGCCTGCTATCTCCCCCTCCATTGCCTCCCCCTGGCATTTCATCCTCCCCCAGCCCCCAGTCCAAAATGCCTGCTGCACCCCAAGGCGTTTTGCACTCACCTGAACCCTTGCAGGGAAAGGGGCGGGGCACAATGGGAAAGGGCGGGACAACAAGACTGTTTAAGCCACGCCCCCTTTCCAACAGAAGCAGCATGGGGGCGGGGTGTCAGTATCCAGGATCCCCTTCTCTGCTTCAATGTATTTCAGTGTAAAATGCTATGTCCTGTATTGATACAGTTTTGTTCTGTATTTCAGGTCCTCTCTCTCCCCCAAGTTAGGGCAGAGAGAGAGAGCGCTCACAGCAGAGCAGACATACAGGACAAATTGTCCTGTACTGATTCAACACAGGACCTATATTGATTCAATACAGGACCTAGAATTTTACACTGAAATACAGGGCAATCCTGTATTATATAAGACGGGTGGCAACCTTAGCTGGGCAGATGAAAGTATCTGATTGTGCTGGTGCTGATGCAGCATGGCATTTCTTCTTCACTGCACTCCTCCCAGCGGTCATTCCTGATTTGGTCACTACCGTGGATACACAACTTGACCGCCTGTCTCCAGGCACTGCTGTCGTCTGCAAGAGAGTAGCACAGGCAGAGTCGCTGTTGCCAAACTTCGTGTCATGTTTGTAGACATATTTGTAATGCATAGTTGGTTTGCCATGGTGCTGGAGGAGACTCTTGAGAGTCCCATGGACTGCAAGAAGATCAAACCTCTCCATTCTGGAGGAAATCAGCCCTGAGTGCTCCCTGGAAGGACAGATCCTGAAGCTGAGGCTCCAAGACTTTGGCCACCTCATGAGAAGAGAAGACTCCCTGGAAAAGACCCTGATGTTGGGAAAGATGGAGGGCGCAAGGAGAAGGGGACGACAGAGGACGAGATGGTTGGATGGTGTTCTCAAAGCTACAAACATGAGTTTGACCAAACTGCGGGAGGCAGTGGAAGACAGAAGTGCCTGCCGTGCTCTGGTCCAGGGGGTCACGAAGAGTCGGACACGACTAAACGACTAAAGAACAACAAAGTTGGTTTGCCTAGTGGCTAGCTCTTCCATTCTGTGTAAATGACCAAGCCAGAACAACCCTGTTATGATTTTATATTTATTTACACACCTTTCCTTTTCCCCTGACATGGAACCAAACCAACGCGGAACCTTTCACTTCGCGCTCCGCGTTTCCACTTCAGCCCTGAAGTACGCCGTACTGGAGCCGCGCTCTGATTGGCTCCTGGGCTTTTCGCGCCGGGGCGGCTCGGGGCGAAGGCGCGGTTGCCGGGGTGACGGCGGCGTTTGCGCAGCGCTGCCCGTGCGTGCGTCGCTGGTCTGTGCCCGCCGCTGAGCCGGGAGCGGCGCTATGGCCAGCGTGCACGAGAGCCTGTACTTCAACCCCATGATGACCAACGGGGTGGTGCACGCCAACGTCTTCGGCATCAAGGACTGGGTCACTCCGTACAAGATGGCGCTGCTGGTGCTGATCGGCGAGCTGGGCCGGGCCGGGCCGCACCTCAGCCTGCTCGAGAGGCGGCGCCTCAACCGGCTGCTGCTGCCTCTGCTGCAGGTGGGGCAGGGAAGCGGGGGGCGGCCGGGGCAGCACTTGGGCGAGTGGCCACCCTGCCGGGCGCGGGTTCAGCTCTGCCCCTCATGCACTTAGTTCCCCTCTCTCCTCGCCGCTTATTATCCAACACACACCTACATACACGGGGGCACCAGATTCATGCCCGTGCGCACGGTCGTCGGGGAAAGCTTGTGGTTTGTTGTTTGTTTGTGTGCATTGATATGCCACCTTCATCTTCCAAGGAGCTCAAGGTGGTGTGCATGGTTCTCTCTCCCTCACAACACCACTGTGAGGTAGGTTAGGTTTAACTAGAGGTGTCAGGGTTTTCCTTTGTTTAGCTCTGACAGCGCTCTTCTGTTCTTCTGTTTCCTGGCCCCTCTTCACTGGAGATACAGTGAATGGGCATTGGGAGTAGGACTGCCTTTGATGGCGGTGCCAGAGTGACCAGGGGAAGAAGACAGGGCTGCTGCACCTTCATAGCTGCAAGGAAGGGGGAGTTTCAGTAGGGTTCTTTGGATGCATAGGGAACTATTCATGATTTTTCTTTCCTTCATTACCCAGCTTGGGAATTCTTGTAGTGCAAGTGCAACAAGCAAAGTTGGGCACATTCTTTCCTGTAGTAGTATAGATGGCTATAGATGTTGGGGCTGGTACAGTTTACTTTTGTATTCATCTAGAAATTGCTGTTAACTATTTAGTGTTTCTCCATGTGCTTTATTTAGGGGCCTGATATGACACTGTCTCGCTTGATTAAAGCTATTGAAGAATGCTGCCCACACTTAGCGAGTTCTGTTCAAATAAGGTAAGTTCATTTGTTCTTTCCATAAGCATAATTGAGATGAGAGTTCTTAATCTTAACCCTGAATACTTTTCAAGCAGAATTAAACAAGTATGTAGTTAAGGACATGATAAATTGACGTAGTAGTAGGTTTAGTGACTTTTGATCTAAAGTTCGCATTGTCTAAGTAACCTGAAACAGAGTAATGTGGCTGCTTAAACAAGTGGGCAAACCAAAGGACAGTGCAGAATGTTCTGGTTCAATAT